GGGGGGACATTCTGATCTTTTGATTGGTTATACACACATCATTGGGAAGAATAGTTGTAACAGACAAAGTATTTTCAAAAACTGAATAGGTGAGCAGGGCCACCTTGCTTGATTCAATAAATATATCAATATCTCAGAAAATAGAAAGAATAGGAGGTTCTTATTTTATATCCTAGTTTATCAATATCAGTAATTTGATCATCTAATTTGTAAGAAACTATAGACTTTGTATTTGGACACCACAAACATCTAATATGAACCAATGCTGCACTCAACATACCACACAACACAAAAATTTATGTTAAGCTGTGTTTTTTAAATATTTACTTTTAAATTACAAAATGAATTAACAAATAATACTAAAATTTAAATCATAATTAACAATTTGATACCAAACTTATTGATATAAATTCATAGATTAGTAGTTCAATAAAATTTTGAATGCAAGTGAACAAACGAGATGACATGGCCTTTGACACGTGACCTGTCGAGATAGGGTTAAACAAAAACTTTTGATATTCATTTAGGAAGGTTCTAGAGGTTATGCAAATGAAATCCAAACACTGCAAGATGAAAAAAGTATTTTTATACTTAAACTGAAAATCACTTAGCACTCGAACTATTCACAGTCTGAGTGCAAATAACTACAACAGATAATTAACATATTTTTAGTAGAAAGAGTTAAAATAATCTCATTATTGTGTATAAAATACTTGTAAATCTTTAACAAAATCTTACCAGTATTTGTGCAAATAAGTTAAATCTCAGAGTTACCATACTTATTATTGCACACATATCATTCCCCAAACGGTCTCATGTATTTTAACACGAACCCATTGTGAAAGGGTTAATATGTTTTGTGCACCTTCATGAAATTTTGCAAGCTTTCGGTATGCAATAAACATCTTTTATAGACAAAAATACTGGATACTTAATAAAGTATTTGTACTAAAAATTTCTCTATGAACACATGGAGTTAATTGCTCTTTAAACCCTGTCTAACTAATGATCCCACTACACAAGTTGTAAATCACCCAGCAAGCATGTAGCATACCTCAAGAAAATTTATTACTATTTTTCTTTATATTACGTAATCTAACCTAATAAGTTTCTAATTTTTACATTTTATTTACTTTTATGATAATAAATAAAGAACACACATGAAAACAAGAAATATAATACCTGGGTCTTCTTTTTTTTGCTGCTAACTGGTGATGAAACTTAATACTACTTTTTATTATACTAATGGTATTACTATACCAAATAATTCATGTAATTAAATAATGCACCAAAGAACACAGAATAATAAGATGTAAAAAGCAGGCAATATCCTACAACTATCATAATGTTTCTGGCTTTTTAACTCTTACAGTAAGAGACACTAAAAATTCAGCTAAACTTGTCAATGTGTTTCCCATGGAAATAAAAGTTTGAACTGGAAATAAAATAGACAAATCCCTGTACAGAAAACAACATAATATAATACATCATTTGATAGATTAAAAGTTTGGCTTTTTATTGTTTAAAATATAGTATTAAATGTCAGAGAGAGAACTATTGGCAATTTGTGAAAAATGAGATGTGATAAAAGAGGTCTGATTTTCTATTTGATAACTCGGTAACAAAACAAGAACGAAGGCTATAAAAATTATGCTTTATCTGAGCAATGATATTATAGTGAGTAATTTAACAATTGTTGCTCTTCCTCCAATTACAAGTCTGATATTTTCTTTTCTCAATAATTTATTCCACTTTCATACAGAACCAGAAACATTTATCCTAAATCTGTTTTAGATCATCATTCACTCAAAGCTGCCTTAATCTGTGAATAATTTTTAAAAAATCCATACTTTTTGCATTTCTTTTTTGTAACCTCTAAGCCTTTGCTACACAAACTGATGGCAAAGAGTGTATATTAGATGCATTTGACAAACAGACTGTTAAATTCAATATGGAATCCATTATTCAAAATATTGACATTATATCATAATTGTATCATGGTTTTGGTGGGTTCATTTTGTGAACAGAAAAGAGTTACTTATAATTTTATTTTAGATATATAGAGATATATTAGAAAAAATAAACAATTGTGAAAATGTACACACTGTTGTCATATATGCTGAAATAAAACTTCCTATTTACTCAAGTCTTATGGAACTTACGTAAAGCACTGAAAGACAAGGCTGTATCTGTTACATAGCAGCTCTGATAATTGTTCCAATTTACACCTTTAACAAGAATATACACATTTATGACTCTCAAACTTAAACATAATCACCACATTACAGCAAAGAAGCAGGTGAAACCAATCAGTAAATATATAGAAAAAAATTAAGAAATAAATCTCGTACTTACCAGATATAAAACCCTGTGAAGCGAATCAGTTAAATGCTGAACAAGAGTTTTGTCATTGAGCTTTTGTTTACAAAGAATACATTCAAAAAATTTGAATTTTTCCCACTTAAGTTGCCACACCTCAACCACATATTCTAGCCCTATAAAGTATGAAAAAAATAAACATATATTAATCCTAAACTTCCAATGGCTTATATAAATATCTTTAAAATAAGTGACAATTTACATTCAAGAACAGTGTGTGAGAGATTAGGAGATACTATATTAGAAATACACCTTTGAAACAATACTTACAGTACTTGTACCCTTATAACTTAGTATACAATTACTAATTTACATTACTTAGCAAAAACACACAATCTAAAAATCATAAAAACTACAGAGAAATAATGTCCAATAAATGTCAATTTTTTTTGATGAGATCAAACTTGATGTGGTATTACTACATTCATTAGAATATAATGAAAGTACAAAATAGCATTATAAAAACTAATTCACTATAGAGCTTTCTTTATACATACAAAATTAGAAAATAAGCCTAACTTTTCCAAAAGTAACCCAGCTGACAATCATGAAATTGATGTAATTCAATAAATAATACATTATAATGGTATGCTATGCAATCAATCCTTCTTAAAATTTAAAGGGATTTTTTTTTGCATTCAAGCACATGAAAACTGAAGTTCCTGTTGTTGTTTTTATGTAGACAGTACAGGAACCAAATGTATGCAATCAAAGATTTGCATTTGGCTCATGCGATGCAAGTTGTCAATCCCTGGCCTAATACATAGATTTAAGATTAGCCTAAACCTACCAAGTTCTCTAAACCTTATAAGATATTACTGGGTTTTAAGGCTGAAAATATCATTAATAGCAAGAATGCCCACTGATGAATCATTACATTTTAATCTTACAAGTTTTACTTTTCTTATGTGTTGATTAATGACATTAAGTAGTTTTAGCCAATTTGTTATACAGAACTAACTTCATTAACTTACAAGTTATCTTTTTAGTTCTAATCTACTGAGTTAGCTTACTTTTGATCAAAGCTAATAATAAAGTCACATAGTTCAAACTGCTTTAGGTAGCTCAGAAAGTTGATTGTGACTGTAAAGTTGGAACAGTTTAATAAAAGTGCATTCTTTACTCTAGTTGTAAATTTACTATCTGGTGAAAATATTTAAAAAAAATTCATTCCTAGCCCATCATTGGAATGGTTGACAAATACATATATATTCAGGCATAATTACACAAACTTTTCAAACACAGATTACAATCAGAAGTATGTTTGTTCAACTGAAAATAACAGTTGAATTGTAAACTTATGGCATCAAAAGTTCTTATTTTTTTCTTAAATCTAAAGCAACAATCAAACCCTTACCAATTAGAGGAGATAGTGTATTTTTCAATTCATTTTCAAGGTGACAACTTCCACGAAATAATCCTAAAATGTAAACACTTATTAATATATCATTTTAGTTATAAATGAAAGTTAAAAATTGATGGACCAACTCAAAAATACTACAAAACAATTTATAAAGTAGTTTTAAAAAATTAGAAAAAATACCTTATTAAAAATCAATAATTCAATTTAATTAAAATCCTCAAATAAAATTAAATAATATAAATAAAACAAGAACACAAGTTTTCATAAATTTCCTCTTTAATGAAAAAAGAAGAAAGACATTCATTTATATTTTGAAACACACCCTACAACTGGGTTTATGTGACAAGGTGGTACTGGAATATCACTGTAAAGTTAAATGTATACAAGTTTCAAATGTGTTGCTCACACTATTAATAGACGATAAATCTTTCATTTCAAAACTGTGTGTCTTTCTATTTAATAATATACAAATTATTTTGGAAAAACATGATACTGATAGATACATTTATCCACATGTTGGATAAACAGATTGCACAACATCTGTTCTGTCTCATGTTAATATGTTTTAATACTATCACGAACACAAAAGGTACTGGTACAATCACAAATCTTAAAGGGTTTAGGCTTTATCTGTTGACTTAAACAAAAAAATGTATTTCACTTATTGTTAATTCTATCATATTTTTTTAATCTGCAAATTTTTTACATTATTTTATGTTCTACTTTACTTAATTATTCTAGCATTTTACTTTTTATACTTGTGCTTCAATTAAAATTTATGTACATAATTTAGTAACAGTTACTTAAAAGTAATAGACTAGTTAGACTAGATCCAATTTTAGTTGTACTGTTTACAATGCAAATGCTGAACTATACTGATACAACTTCAGCACTTATATGGATTAGATATGATAAAAAGTAACTTTACAAATGCGGTATTCTTCCATTGAAAACTTTCAATTTAGGGCTTTTTTTGATAGAAAATTGTCAAATTTCTTTTATTTCAAGGAGTTGTGCCCACCTGATGCATTGTAGAATCATTTCACATTTTTCATTTTCCAAATAAATGGGAACTTTTGGAAATTCACCCCTCTTTTATTTTTAATGCTTGTAAAGTATGTATACACAAATTCTCAACAAACCTGTATAGTACATGAATCTTTCCAAAGTTTTAAGCTTAATCTAGCAGAAATACAGATGCAATATGAATTAAAATACTACTACAGAGAAATAACTTACCATTAAGTTTTGTCTCTTCATATTTTTGGTCGTGTAATAACTACAAATGAAAATAAGAATACATATTACTAATGTCAGCTTTATCAGTGAGGATATCCAAACTTAAATTAGACATACACATATTTTGTAAGTACATATACATTTACCAAAACCTTCAGTTACTCTACTAGTCCACATACCATACTAGTATGAAACTGCCCTTCCCAAATCATCTAAAATCTGCTTTTTCTACACAAAGCAATATAACTGCATTTTTGTTCTGTATGATCCTGATACTCCAAGTTGATCAATATTCCTTTGTTTTCCAATGCCATTGAGTACAAGGTATATTTCCATCTTGAAAATTTTACGTATCTGATCTGAACATATCCTTATAACACAAGTGTAAGGGTATTTTATAACATAACAATGTTTTGGGACAATATGGAACCTATTGGTCCATCTCGGCTGTCCCATCCTTTAAACTAAACTATTAATAAACAAATTTAAAAAAATCTTGAAGCCAGCCCTTATCATTCATATACTTGTCAAGCTTTTTCTTAAACTCACATTTACTGCCTCCACAACATCCAAAAGCAACCTATTCCAAAGGCCAACCACCCTGTTAGAAAAATAAAACTGTCTCAGCTAAAGATGACTCCTACCCTGCCAAAATTTATACTTGTGTCCCCTAGTCCTACTATTCTCATTGTTAAGTATGAAAAAA